GTCTTGATTAACTGTTTGTCTTAGGGTGTAAGAAAAGTATTGTTGCCCGGCCAGGTGTGGTTCAGCGGTTGAGCATTGACCTAGGATCCAGGCGATCGGGGTTCGATTCCCAGTCAGGGCACATGCCCAGGTTGCGGGCTCAATCCCCAGTTGAGGGTGTGCAGGAGGCAGCCGATCAATGATTCTCATCATTGATGTTTCTCTCTCTCTCCCTCTCCTTTCCTCTCTCTGAAATCAATAAAGATATATTTTAAAAAAAGAAAAAAATATTGCCTTTACCTTCATTTATTGCAGTCTTTTTTAAAGTATGTTTGTTAAAGTTAAAGTATGTTTTTAAAGTATGTTTTTTAAAGTTAATTTTATGTGATTTTTAATCTTATTAACTCCATCTAAATATATAAATTTCTATTTTCTCTAATGTCAGTATGTTTTGAGAGTGTGATCATTGGACAATACAGATAGATATGGATACAGATATAGATGTAGAACTAGATACAGATATAGATATAAAATGGGTAGCTTCTTGGCTTGTGGAAATATTAGTTATGATGTATTTCTTAAATTTTATAATGAAACCTTTTCTTTCAGGCAATTTCCTAACAGAAAAGTGAACATAAGGCATAGTGTTTATTGGCATTTAGCAAAACTAAGATGTTAATAGAAATGAATCCTCGGTGCTTTAAGACATATTGTAAAGACTCCCTTTCAATTGCAAAAATGAATGAGTGAACTGAGTACTCCCTTTTAAGCTAAAGTATAAAGTCTGTGTGAACCATCAGCTTGAAAATCCTATTTAAATGTCTCCTGGCTTTGTTGCGAACATGTGCACTTGGAAACATGAAGTTCACCGGGGTTTCAGATGAAATTTATTATTCCTATCTGGGACAACTTTTCATACTAAATCATTTGCCCTAGTCTCATCTTGGTGATCTCTGGCATTGGTGTTCCCCACTGCTGTCCCTGAAGCCATACAGTGCCCTGGAGCCACATGCATAAAAATATTGGGTTCCCTTCCATGACCCCTCCCCACAGTCGCAGGAGCCAATGGCACGTTCTGAAGCGTGGCAAGAGACTTCAGCTTGCCTCAGGTGTCTGGGTCAGCACTGAAGAGCCCATCACTAAAGCCTACAGCCTTCACTCTCTTTACCTCTGTCCTAATGTCCCATCCAGGTGGCCACCAAAACTGAAATGCTTCAACTCAAGGGATCACAGTCACACTGTTCCTACTATGCATCATTTTAACTAGACATGAAAGTCCTAAACTTTATCTCTACTTCAGTTATGGAATTAACCTTTTCCACATGACAAAATTTCATTTGTACCTTAGTTATATATCGTAAAGCCACAGTGCCCATACATAGATATTTCCTTAATGTTTTTATTCTGTCCATCTATACAGTATATAAGTAATTCCTGGTCATTGTTCTCGATGTGATTCTCGTTTTATGACCCAAGCACAGTTTCACAGGCAAGTCTACATTTACTGAAATTTCCTATTGATGATGGTGGCACTGGTGGCTCTGCGGCTTCTCTGTTCTACAAGTGTTGTCCTGTGAATGAACAAGTTTGTCCCAGGAGCTGTACTATTTTCTGTGATTTTTCTTACAGATTTCTAATCATCATAGTTTTTTTATTTATTGCACTTGTAAGAACTTCAATGAAAAATTGATGAAAAAATAAAAATTAAATGTCCTTACAGATTGAGTTGAGTAATGACTCAAGCCCAAAGAGTCTGACTTATAAATGCTATACAGAAAGTCATGTATTAAATTAAGGTCAGAGGTCTGCAAGCTACTTGACATTAAATAGAGGCCAATAGAAGCATCAATTAGTGGAAGTAAAATTTTTAAAAAGTGGGTATTATGGTGAAAGAAATGGTTTCTTTCTGATGGTGAAAGTTGTGATGTCTCTTCTAGGTTATCGAATAGCCAATATTCAGAAAAGAGAGATAAATATTGAATAAACAACATGGAAAATAGCTAGGTAACACTCAGTTTATGAGTGTATCATGGTTCCCAAACTCCAGGAGTATGCAAGCTGTGTAGTTCTGAGCAATGATTTTCCCTTAAGGCATCTGTAGATGTGGCAGCATTGCTCTGCTCTGCTCACATAAACCAACCAAAGCTACGATATAGCTGAAGCACAATACAGACCTCATAACTCTATGTCAAATACATTGAACCACTTGTAACACGCTTCTGAATTTCAATTTCTGAACAAAATAAAAACCATCATTTACTCGGCATATACAAAATACTTGGGTACCGTGTCAATTTAATTCTTACTTCAGTCTGTAAGATAATTACTGTTACTCTATTTTACAGAAAAGCAAACAGGCCTAAAAAACTAATCTGCCCCAGGCGTGAGTACGTTAATAACACTGTTTATTTGCATGAAAGAAGCTGTCCTTTAAGTCAGTCATTCTCCAGTTTTCATACTTCAGAATCAATTGCAATCCACACTCAGAGTGCAGAAGCTCTGGGTGCAGAATTCCCGTAACCCATTCATAGGAGCAGGGTGCCTGTCAGGGGCAGCCCACATAGTACAATGTATTTGTACTTTCAGGAGCCTATGTAGGTTGACACTTTCTTCGGCCCTTTTTAGAGAGTTTTGTTAGACGTGTGGATCTTATTTTTAATAACCCTTTTAATCTTTTTAAAATACTCAGCCAAAGATCAAAGCTGCTACTTAGCTTTAAGCTGCACATTCTATATCTTCCATTTTAATTTGTACTTATGCAACCTCTTACCTTTTTTATAGCAAGAAATAGATTTCCCTTCATGAAGGAATATAATTTGCCCTCAAGGAAAATACTATTCATTTTCAATAAACATGTACTAAGTAACTACTATTTGGAAAGGTAAAGACTAAGCCTGAGGAGGATAAAAAAGACGAATAAGACCTGGTCTGTGCCTGCCAGGGGCTTAAAACCTAATTATGGAGACAGAAATAGTAGGAATTGGGGTCAAAATGTAAAGTGGAGCCCGGCCAGGGTGGCTCAGTGGTTGAGCATCTTCCTAGGATCCAAGAGATCGCAGTTCGATTCCCAGTCAGGGCACATGGCGGGGTTGGGGCTCGATCCCCAGCAGGGGCCGTGCAGGGGGCAGCCGACCAATGACTCTCATCACTGATGTTTCTCTCTTTCCCTCTTCCTCTCCCTTCCTCTCTCTGAGATCAATAAAGGCATATTAAAAAAAAAAAAAAAAAAAAAAGTGAAGTGGAGTCAAGTGGCCCCTCTCCAAGGAACAAATTCTAATACTATGTTGCTTCTCTAGGAGCAGGCTGTGGCTTCCCAATATGAGAGAGGGGGCTGAAAACAGTAACACTCTAGGATAAATGTTAAAGATTCTATGTGTAGCACTAACTCTCAAGGTGAGGGGCGCGATTTAGGAGAAAGGGGGCAGTTTCAGAATTGACTGAGTACAGTGGGACGTGGGTGGTTTTGCACCCCGCACAGCCCCTGCTCACCACACCTGCCCCAGAGTCACGGCTCTAGGGAGCCCCAGGCACCGACGGGAGGAGGCGGTGCATCTGCAGAGACCGCAAGATAGGAAAAGACTGAGGACTGCAACGTCTAGCACGGTGCAGTTTTCAGGTACAGCTCCTAACGAGACCACAGCGAATAGTCGCTTTTCTATTTGTCCTTGTTTAATACTGAACAAATAATATTTCACACTAAAATCCGGTCAAGAGGGACTTAATTTGATAGCTGATTACCTTTGTCAGTCATTAAGATAAAAGGCTGTGTCTTCAGAAAGCCCGAGTCGCCGCAAAGCTGAGTTGCTTAGAAAGCAATCTGTGATAAAAACAAGTATGAAGATGGTTATCTAGAGCAAATGGTTTTAACCTATTAAAACCAACCTTTTGGGAATACTCCCATCGCCTGCTATGGTTTATGCTCCTTAGATACCCAGAGAAGTAGCCTAATTCTCTTCTAACATAAAATACTGCAGGTATCTGCCCTCTTTTGAGAAGACCGCATTCTCTTTACTACTAACATAAAATCCCCAGCGCCACAGCCTCCTCAGTCCGTCAGCCTTACTTTTATTATCTTCTCTCACGCTTCACACCACCTGTGAAACGCGTCCCTAACCAGCTGATGTGTCTATCTCAGCCTCCACCCAGATGCGCCCTTTTCTCAGCATTCACACTTACGTTTTTATATTTAGCTGCCACGCTGATCAACAAATTGGATTGTGGTAGGTGGCATTTTTCTTTTGTTTAGACTTTTTCCCTAATTATAGGAAAAGGCGTAGGTTGTGTGTTTTTTTAAAAAAAAGCTTATAGAACTCATAAAAATTTTACAAAATAGCATTTTTTAAATGGAAACTTCCTTATGCCACACAGAAATCAGTACTAAAATTTTGTTATTTTTCCCATCAGTAGTTTGCCTATGTATGCTTTTTAACTTTTTATTTTGAAATAATTTTAGACTTGGAAAAAAGTTGCAAAAGTAGTACAAAGAGTTCCCGTGTGCTCTTCACCCAGCTTCCCCTACTGATAATATCCTTTATTACCACAGTAGAACTATCAAAATCATCTATGTATATTTTGACAAGGCTAAATCATACCTTTTGTTCATAGCTTCTTATATTTAATATGATAGCATCAGCATTTTGGTTATTTAAAATTTTCAAAAACATTAATTTATAGTCCAAGTAATGTCATACTACATTGATGAATTTTTAAACTATTTTCACACTGTCAAATAATTAGATTGCTTGCAATTTTTTCTCTGTTATTAAAAATCCTCATCAACACAGGTTACAATGTTTTAAAACACCTACTAATTTATAGGTCAAAAAATGTTCTCTCATTTTCATTTGCTTTTTTAGTTATTTTTGGAGGTGAATATTTTACATTCTTGTTAACCATTTTTATTTCATCTTTTGTAAATTATTTATTTGGACTCTTTGCCTATGTACTTATGGGTGTCTAAATGTATTACGTAACAATTTTGTAAAACTTGTCCATTAAGGAGATTAATCAAAGAACTTATATGCATATAAGCATAACCCATGGACACAGACAATAGTGTAGAGAAGGCCTGGGGCAGATGCCAAGTGGAGGGGATCAATGAGAGGGAAAGTGGGGACATCTGTAACACTTTCAACAACAAAGGTAATTTTTTAAAAAAAAGAATATTAAGCTTTGGACTCAAAGGTTGCCAATATTTTTCATTGTTGGATGATTATGTTTTAATTATTTGTTTTGTTTTCATTGTAATCATTCAAAACAATTTTGTCAATTGAAAACATAACATCTCTTTTATAGTCACAATTTGTAATGGAAAGACATTTTCATAAGTTTCATCAACTAACTCAGCATTTCTCAACCTGAGATTCATCGCCACTCAGCATATGAAGATGTGACTGTTGAGAAATTAGGAAATTTTTTTCCTTAAAAAGGGTCCATATGTTATTTAAATTTGACAAAAATTATTATAGGTACAAGGTCAAAGGAGGAATCCCAAGTTATAATGAGATGCCACGTCATTTAAAATAAAAAGTTCATCAAAAGACCAATTTGTATTATATGTTCTCTAATGTTAGTTATTTCATACTATTTTAATGTCTTACAAATTTTCATAACTAAACTATATTAAAAAGAATTTATTTTTTATTATTATGAACTGAAAATCAGAAAGATATATTATACTTCAGCAATCCCAAGTTACTTAAGAGACCCCAAACAGCCTAAGCTTTCTTGTAATTACTTAATGCTCTCTTTGCCTGGAACCTGCCCCACTCCGTTACTGCATCCCCACCAAGTGGAAAATTCCTGGGCCTCACTGTCATTCCCCTCCACCATGCCACCCCTTCCTCCCCAATATTGTCTTAATTATTTCATTCTCCACTGACTTTTTCTCTAGGTTTGTATTTACTGTTTCACATTAAATTTGTTTTTATAGCTTTCCCTCTTCCCAACTGTCAGTAACCTGAGACCAAGAGACTCAGTCATCACTGTAGCCCCAGTGCCTAGCAAAGTTCCTGACATATAATAGGAGCCCCATTAACGTTTATAAAATGAACTGAGTTGCCCTGGCCGGTTTGGCTAAACGGTTAACGCATCAGCCTGTGGACTGAAGGGTCCCAGGTTCAATTCCGGCCAAGAGCACGTACCTCCCTCAGTTGCAGCCTCAATCCCAGTCCTGGTCGGGGAAAGTTCAGGAGGCAAACCAGTCCATGTGTCTCTCTCACATCAATGTTTCTCTCTATCTCGCTCTCCCTTCCACTCTCTTTGAAAAGCAATGGAAAAAATATCCGAGGGTGAGGGTAAATAAATAAATAAAAATAAACAAAATGAACTGAGTTATTCATATAAAGTAAAAATCTTCTGGGAGAGTAATAAGAAACCTGACTTTGTTTTCTGAATTATACTGATAAACAAGACTGCAAGTTCATCTACCAACACTGCCATCAGTTGTCTATGGGGTCTGCAGCTTCACTTCAGCACTATCAAATGCTTTCTATTCAGTGACAGTGACTCAGGGAAAGAAGAACACCTTTCTCAGGAAGGTGACTAATAATCATTCATTTTTTAAATTTAACTTCATAATGTTGAAATAATTTCAAACTTACAGAAGAGGTGAAAGCATAGAACAAAGAACTACTGAATGCTCTGCAAGCAGATTCACCAGTGGTTATGATTTTGCCATATCTTATTTCTGTTTCCAACCACAAATCACAAAATATTTTTCCTGAATCACTTGAGAGTTATTTGCAGAATCATGCCTTTATACCTACACACTTCCATGTTCATTTCCTAAGGACAAAGATATTCTCTTATGTAGCCAGAGTACATTGATCAAATCTAGAAAATATAACATTTATACAACACTTTTACCTAATATACAGTCTATTTTACTTTTCTACAATTGTTTTAATAATGTGCTTTACACATTTTTTTTTCTGATCCAGACACAAAATCACCCATTACATGTAGTTGGTGTATCTTGTTGGTTTTCTTCATTTGGAACAATCTTTCACACTTTGTTTTTCATGACACTGTAATTTTTCAAAAATACCTCTGGGTCTGTCTGATGTTTCCATGTGATTAGAGTCAGGTTATACATTTTTGGCAGGAATACTGTATAACCCATGTTGTGACTTTCTCAGCACATCACATCAGGAATCAAATCTCAGTTTATCCCATCATTGATGATATTAATTTTGATCATTCAATAAGGTGGTGTCCATCAGTTTCTCCACTGTAAAGTTACCATTTCTCACTTTGTAATTCATAAGAAATCTCTGGGGAGATGCTGTGGTAATACATCAATATATTCCATTCCTCTTCAAACTTTTGGCATCCATTGGTTGCAAACTGGCAATTTTCTACCTCCACTATTTCTTCTACAGTTATTAGTTGACATAACCATTCTTTTCTCTGAAGGTTCTTCCCCTCAATTTGTACTTTTATTCCTTATAGGTATGTCCAAATTAAAGACTTTTCAAAGTAATTTTTAAATCTACTTTGAAAAGGTTATCACATTTTTCTTTAATTTTGCATTTTCATTGTTACATGTTGAGCAGCCCAGAGCTGACATTTCATACTACTCCATATAATCATTTTTCTACTTCATAAAACTTTATTTGAAACTCTTAAGTCTTGCTTCAAACTTCTGATTACAATCCAATACTACACTCCCAGTCTTCTCTGTCTTGCTGCAGCTGAGTCCACAACCGGCTGTGATCTGACACATATTAGCAGAGAAAGACCTGACTGGTTGAAATAATATTCAGCTCCCTTCAGCAGACAGGTAGTCTTACGGTGGAGAAGGCACATCGGGTTCCAGTAACTGAATGACAGTTTCCTAATTAAAAGCATCCAACTCACTTTCTTCTAATTTTATACTTCTTAGGCATCCTTCTGTCCTTAATTTTATTTCCCAAGCTTTTTTTTCCCCCACAGGGAATAAAATGGGCTGACAAGCTGACAGAACTATTCTAGTCTACTTGGCAGTTAATTTCCTCATAGAGACTTGTAAATTGATGTTCTGGTTTATAATCAGACTCTTGTAAATTTGGTTAGAAGGAATCAATTTGCCTGGGCCTGTTAACTCCTGAGTGACCACATAATGACCCAGTTTCTGAACCTGAAAGCTTTGTGTCAAGCTCTGGACAAGGATGATCACTAAGGAGTGACACATACACTGTAACACCAGGCTGAAATGGCCACGCAGATATAACAATACAATACTTTACAGAACAGTTGTGAATATTAAATGAGTTCATATATATTAAAGTACCTGGCATATGCTAGACTCTGGATAAACTGCCATTAGTTTATCTTTTTATTTTTTTTAATCATATGCAACTCAATGGGGGGGGATCCAAATCTGAAAATTTTCCAGGTGAACTGAAATGATCCTATAATTTTTTCCCCCACTCCATCCCAATTTATCCCTAACTCTCCCCTTTTAAAAGAGTTTCCTTTTTAGTGTTTTCTCATTTGCACAACTGAGTTTTCTGTCTCCATAGTTTATCATTCAGTAATGCTCAGAGAAAGAATTAATGCAAACAAAAATAATATCTAAAAATAAGTATATATTCTGAGGAATAATTTATAAGCTCTGTGATCTTCAACAAGTCACTTAATCTTTCTACATGACTATGTCATTAATTAGTAACTATTCCTCCCTGCCTATCCCATAATGTCCCTTGGTGTCCCTTCCATCTCTAATATCCATAAACTATTTCCCTACTGAATCTTCAGGACTTAGCACATAGTATGTGTTACTGACATTTACGTTGAAGGATTGCATAGATGTATTTTAAGACTATATTTTGCTCACAAATATCATAAATAAGCTCAATTTTTACAATA